CCCCCTTCCCTTCCTTCCCCTCCTTTCTTCGCCCCTCTCCTCCCTTCCCTCCTCTTTCCTTCCTCCCTTCCCCTCCTCTTTCCTCTCTTCCCTCTTCCCATCCTTCTCATCTCCTCCCCTCCCTTCCTCTTTCCACCCCACCGCTCCCATTCATTTACAGAAGAATGCCTAAGATAGTGCAGAGAGTTTCTCTGTATCTGCCCCCTTATTTTTAGAATCTTATAGTACTATGATGTGTTCATCAAAACTAAGAAGCCAACATAGGTACATTAACTATACATTTCAGGCTTTACTCAGATTTTATTAGTTTTCCTTAAAGTCCTTTCCATGTTCCAGATCCCATTGGGCACTGCGGGTCCATTGAATAGTCATGTTTTCTTAGCCTCAGCTGGGGTGTGACAGCTTCTTAGTCTTTCCTGGCTGTTCACAATCCCCACAACTTTGAGGAGTGCTGGCCAGTCATTGTGTAGACTGTCCCTCAGCTAGGGTTCATCTGATGTCTTTGTCATGGTTGGACTGGGGTTGTGGGTTTGAGGGAGGGATGCTACCAAGTATTGTTCACTATTCTCATCCCATCATGATAGGGAGGTGACATCATCTCAGGGACATGTGAGATCCATGTGACTTGTTACTGGTTATGCTCAAGTACAGTGACCCCTTTTCCATACTACACTGCTTAAAAGTAGGCCACGACATGCAGCCCCCTTCAGGGTGGGAGAATCGGAGAATCAGCTTCGCTCCTGAAGGGAAAAGCATCTACACAGGGTGCTCAGGTTTCTGGAAGGAGGATGTGACTCTGCCCATTCTTTCATGTACGGATTCAGTCATTTACATCCATCCATACAGCCTGACAATGGTCGCTGCACCCTTTGGGCTGTGGTCAGATGCTACCTCACGCCTCCAGCTGTGCAGACCAATCCAGCTGGTCATGGAGCTTTCCAGCTGGTGCCTGTGTTTCTGGCAGGTCCCCATCCTTTTGGCTTTTTGCACTTTCTTCCTTTCTGCCTCTGTAAGATCTTCCAGGTGCATCTTGTCTCCCTGCCCTACCCCTGAATCAGCCATTTCCCCAGGATCTCTGGTTCCTGCTATTGATGTTAGAAAGTAAGATCTGGCCACTGGGTGTGCTTGTGGCCCCTGCAGTGTCACTGCTTCCAGACACTCCAGTGAACAGAGTAAGGGAATGTGTTGCACATGTCTGCAGACATTTCTGGATTTATCCACCTGTCTTCAGAGGGAGCTTGTCATGTCTGGGCATTTGTGTTTTGCTGAGTGGCCAACAGGATGTGAATCACCGCCTCCTACCACCAAGGTAGAGTGGGGCAGAGACCTGGCATGCCATGATGTGTGGCTCAGCCATCCACTGGCTGGGCCATGTCAGGTTGGAGATGAAGTCCTGAGAAGTTAAGAAACTAGTTAGAGGAGAAGTCAGGGTTGGGGTCTGGCTTTTTTGATTTCCACTCCATCCCGTGCCTCTCTAAGACTGGGCAATATTCTTGACTGTGTAGTCAACTCCATTACTGACTTCTTGGGATACATAAGCAGATTTAGAATGCAACTTTAGCAACTGGCATGCACACCATGACCTGCTGGAGTTTCACTGTTGGGGAATTTTTCTCCTAGCACATGCCGTAGATCAGGGACTTGAGCATGAAGCTCTGAAGGCCAGATGCCAGCGAGTTAATCTCAACAAATGACTATCCTACTCGCCTTTACTTTTTACAACCATCTTAAAAGAACACCTTTGTTCTGAGGAAGGTGGGCTCCTGCAGGGCACATGCTTTATGAATACCCCTGTTTTCCAGCTATGAGGCCTAAGGCAGGTGAGGAGGGAGTCTGCTTGTCATCCTCTGAGAATTTGGGTGGAATAAGCCTCCAAAACCAACGCTGCGCCTCTGTGAGCGCTTTTAACAGCCAAACTTAGGCCTCTTTCTTTAAACTGCTCTTGATAACAGCGTGTAATGCAAGGAAGGAACCCTGAGCTTCCTTAGAAACACTCTGGACCATGGGACAGTCCCAGGTACCTCGGACCCTGCCTATGCTGGCCCTGCAGAGGCAAGAACATCTATACCTGCAAGCTGTGCCCGTCCATGGGACAGCAGAGTCCTGTCTGCTCCACCCATCCTCCCTTCCTCCCAAAGACTGAGCATTTACTTTTACATGGTACGTTGTGAACAGCCAAGATTCTTAGTGGAGTTAAATGGTAACAGCTGTTTTTTGTGTACAAAATAGACTCGTGAACCTTCACCTTGAGATGATGTAGCCACATTTTTCCAGGTGTTGAAATGACGTGAGTGAAAAGCTCATTTGGGGCCCTCATCCCAGCACAGAAGGACACAGAGTGGCTCGCTGTTAGCTTTCGCCTCAGAGCCAGGGGATGTCTGTGGAATTTCTTCACCTGTGTTCCCTTCCTCTGATGACACTTCCTATGTACACTGGGGCATGTACACACACACACACACACACACCCCAACGTCCCCTTCTCCATGGCACATCTACTGCCTCAGTACTATGGCAGGCCCAATGTCTGCAGGGAGATTTTCCAGAACCCTCTAGATGCTGTGTTTTCCTGTGCTTATGTACGTATGGTAGAGTTTAATTCATAAACAAGACTTGGCAAGAGACAGACGATGGTAGCTAGTAAGACAGAGCAATTATACCGATGAACCGTAATCAAGTTTTATAAATCTCTCTCTCTTTCGAAGTATCTCATTGTGCATAATATTTTGAACCATGGGTGAGTAAAGTCATGGAAAGTCAACTTGCATATAAGGCGAGACTGTGGATTCTGTTTTACTTTTAGCTTTTTATTTGTTTTCCCTAACTAGAATGCAACTCTGAGAGAACAGGGAGTTTGGTCTGTTCACTGCTGCATCCCAAGACCTAGACAAATAACTCAAATATAGTAAGCACTCAATGATCACTTCTGAATGAATAATGTAACTTGCAAGTTATCATGATTTAGGCTCTGATTTGAATATAAATACAAATAGTGAGGATTTATCTTACAGGGTTAATCTGTGTGCCAAAAAATCTCAGGATATGTGCTAAAAATAGTTATATAGAAATAGTTTCTTGGAAGTGATGCAGCTACTACAGTAATGCAATACTATTATTACATACAAAGAATTTTGAAGCTATTTGCCGAATATTACTCAAGAAATTGGTGGAAGAGCTCAAAGCAAACCATTTTTACAATTTTAATGTGAATTATCTGTAGATTCACCCAAGGAAATCTTGTACCCAAAGCAACTTACCCAGTGTGACCCCTTATTCACCACTTTTAGCAGAACATGACTTTTTGTTGTTATAAAAAATATTCTAAATTATATTTCCAATGTAGAGACTATTCAAAAGAGCTTGCTGTGAAATCTGAGGTGGTTCCTTGGAAGGATGTCAGCACTCATTTGAATATATAGATTCTGCCATTGTTGTTTGTCTTAAGAATCATACTATTTCACAAATATACTATCTTTATTTAAAATTTCAAGTGTCTGAAATACTTACATTTTTATCTTTAAAATTAGTGGACTCCTATTTGCTTAAGCAATATGAAGATGATACAATAGGGCCTGCAAATTGATTAGCTATTGTATAAACTGAGTTTTTCAAAACAAAAATGCTGATGCCAAACTTCTTGCAGTATTCTTTCTCTCCGGTACAAAAAACACACAAGTAGAAAGCAGTGTGGTCAGTGAACATCGCAGATTTGTTTGTAAGCTGTCTTTGGACTAGGGGCATAAGTTCTGTCTCTGCACAAGACTGACAGTATTTGGTACCTCATCTTTACCTTTCATTTCAGAGCATTGGAGAGTCAGCGCTGTCTGCTGTGTTAAGTCAGCTGTTGCCCATGATCAAGCCTTCCACCCAGAGGACCCACACTGACTACAGCCCTGACGAGCTGCTGGCCCTCCTTATCTATCTTTACTCTGTTGCTGGAGAGGTCGTGGCAGACAAAGACCTGGGTGACACTGAAGAAAAAGTGAAGGACTCATTGGCCCGGGTCTTCTGCGAGGAGGCTGAGTTGTCACCTTTGCTGCAGAAAATCACAGGTGAGTGTTTAACAGTGAGTAGGACATGCTCTCGCAGATCCAGAAGACAGTATGAAATGAGGGCTGTTTCAGGAGGAGGCACTGTCTGGAGTTGCTGGGACCTGAGGCCTGCCAACCAGCCTGCAAAGCTGGAGGGCTTCATGCAGGAAGTGTCTTTTCCAGGTGTGGAGGTGAAATGGCCTGTAGGGTTAAATGGCCTTCTTTCTAATTGCATGTCAGATTCATATTCTTTAGAGCCAATATCTTGTGATAATAGGAAAATACAGAGCATGATGTTATCTGCAAGGAAAAAGAAAATGTAGTATGCCCCATTCAAGAGATGCTATGGGTATAGTCTCTTTGTGGTCATCATTTCAAACTTAATTAAAAAAAAAACCTGTTACTTTAAGATATTACACAATGTTACAGGACTGGGAATTGCTAATTTCCGGAGTAGTTTTATATTTTGACTTCTCATATTTCATTTTGAATTTGAATTAATAGGTACTGTCCAAAATTAGCTCAGCATCCCAGTAAAGTAGGCTATGCTCATTTGGGGGAAACACTTGATTCAATATCATAAAATCTGTTTTCATTTCCAATAATATCTACACTCTGACTCATGGAGGCATCCATTTGTGTTATTTTGTATTAGATTCCACATTGTTATTTATATGTTGCTGAAGCTGATTTCTGTTAATATGGATTTAGCATCTGAGTGTGAGAAGTTATTGAAACTTATCTGTAGAAGATGAACACTTCAAGAACAGATCACATTTCCACTCATTCACTGATGAGTATGTGTGTGTGTGAGCATGTGTGTGTGCATGCATGTGTGAACATATGTGTGTGTGTGTGTGTGCGCGTGTGTGTGTGTGCACATGCAAACCTACTTGCGTGTTTGTAGACCTCTCCATTCAGGAAAGCCCGACTGAGGCAGATCATACATTTGCCAGCTTCTCCTGGTCCCCTGCTGGACCTCCCTGGGGGATCCAGGTCATAACTGTCAACCTTGGTGTCCCACGCATGTGCCTTGCTTTGTATTCTCTGCTGACCTTCCCTGTTTTTGGTTCTGGAAAATAAACCCTGATGAGATGGAACTGAAGGAAGTTTCCCCAGAAATGAAATACTTCCTTGCTGAGCACAGAGACTTTTGCCAACTCAAAATCTATGGAAGAAACACGTGTAGGACTTGTTCCCATTTCACTGAGTGCAGTGCCATATGTGATTACATGTGTGTGTGTTTGGCTGTCCATGAATATTGACTTAGGGAGGTTTAATATGATGTATACAGTGCTTAGAACAGTGCTTTGATTCAAAGTAAACTTGAAAGCTAGAAGAATTTACTTAGAAGTTATTCATCAGATGCATAATTTCCGAAACAGATAACAAGGATAATGTGTTTTCACTGAGGTTATTTGGATGGTTTTCTGTAACTTTTGTATGTTGTTGCTTTGTTTTTGGAACCAGTCACGCCATCAGAGTGTTCATTTAGGCTTTGCTCAAGTTGTCCTTGGCCTCGCATTTCCTGTTTTATTAGTTTCTCTACTTATGGATGCTCAGAATATTGCATTTTGTGCCTTTAAAATACTTGTTTGCATTCATGTTTATGTTATAAAAATGTATAAACTCAGAGGTCGAAGATTAAAAAAATAAGAATTTGTGGAAACGTTAGTGTATTTTTAAAGTTTGGAGTGTTTTGTAATGCTAAGTATATATTACTGTCTAGATGAACTTTGGATGTACAATTTAAACAGGGTGGAGATGATGTGTTACTTAAGTTGGACATAAGTGAACTTACTATTGAAACACACACACACACAAACACACACACACACGCATGCATGCACACACACACTCATTTATCAACCAAAGGAATTTTATTTATTCCTCTTCTTCTTTTTGTTGAGTCGGAGTCTCCCTCTGTCACCCAGGCTGGAATGCAGTGGCATGCTCACAGCCACCGCAGCCTCGACCTCCTGCCCCAGCCTTCCAAGCAGCTGGAACCACAAGCATGTGCCACCACGACCAACTAATTTTTTGATTTATTGTAGAGGCGAGGTCTCGCCAAGTTTTCAAGGCTGGTTTCAAACCCCTGGGCTCAGGCAATTCTCTCACCTCTACCTTCCAAAGTGCTTGGATTATAAGTGTGAGCCACTGTGCCCAGCCTAAGAGTTTTATTTCTAAAAATAGACTTATTTGACCAGTATAGACCTAGACGTATACATTAAAAGTATGTTGAAAAGTCAAATGTCCTGAAAAGAAGAGTTTCTTTGTAAAGCTAGCTGCTGAGAGTAATGTTTAATTTACATCCCAGAATAAAAAGCAGTAGCACAATACCGGGCAGTGTGACTCCATGTTGGAGTCTAGGAAGGGATATTCCAGTGTGTGTTGGGAGGACTGAATTGCCATGTAGATTCGCTGGGCATGTGCTGGAACTGGGCTGACCTGACTTTTGCAAAGAAGTTACCTGCAGGGTTGCCTTGGGTTATCCCAGTGTGTGTATATGGTCTTGGCCTTTTTGTGACTGAGCAGCAAAATGTATTTTATGCTTTGTGTTCATTTTGTGGTTGATGAACATTCGATTAAAATGAATTATTGACAACAAGCAACTAATCGATATAAGAATTCTACTTTTTGAAGAATGCTATAGTTTTACAGGTATGGATCATAATCCCGAAAGATACACCCTGAAGGTCATAATTCCTACAATGAAATCTCAAAAGATCAGAATCCTTAAAGTCCAAACTCCTAATTTCAAAAATCCCCAAAGCCAGACCCAAGACAGTGGCATCATGTCAGGTGGACTATTGCCGTGTGGCTGTCTTTACTCAGGTGTGGTTTCAGGAGATGTACATGTGCCAGGTTGCCAAGGGTCAATCTGGGGATATACTTCTAGGTGTCAACTTGACTGGGTTGAGGAATACACAAGTAAAGCCTTATTCTGGGCATGTCTGTGAAGGTGTTTCCAAAAAAAATTAGTGTGAATCTGAGTAACCAAGATGTGGAACCTCTCAAGTGTCCATCGACAGGTAGGCGGAATTCACTGTCCTGAAGGACCCTGGGAAGGTGGGTGTCGTCTCCTCAGCTCTCCGCCAGGGTTCGCTGACCTTCCCCAGCTGACCTCTGATAGAGAGAGCTCCTCTGTCAGCCGTGAGCCAGGGTGGGCTTGGGATGTGCTTTTCACTGGGTTGCGGAAGGTGGCCATGGTGCTCTCAGCCCAACTTGCAACAACTTGCGAAGGCAAGCGTCCATGCTCCCATCCGTAGTACAGCAAGGCCACGTTCCAGGAAGGCTGGTGACAGACTCTGAGAGCTGTTTTCCAGATTCCATGGCAACATCCTTATCATTGACATGGCGGGCATGTGCTCGAGACTTAAGGAACAATTTCTCAAGGGAAAGATTTCTGAAATCTTGAAAACTGTTTTCAGCCAGTTAGTCTCTTCGCAGTGATTTGCTTATGACAGCTTTCCTCTTCTTTCAGGTAAGCACAGACCAAGTAAATGAATATTTCTATTCATGGCTGCCACTTAATTAAAAAACTTTCATCTCCATGAATAAGTTATTGACGTGTTCTTTATGGTGTTAGAGGAGGTGTCTTTCAAACAAAACTTTCTTTATGCTTGGCCAAGGACTCCCAGCCTTGCAGGAGGCTAGCCTTCTTGGAACGGGAAGGACTTCCCACCAGAGACTTGGGAGCAGCTGGAAGCACTGCTGCTCTTGAGCTTTTGTGTGTCTCCCCTGTGCCCCTCTCTCACCTCACAGTTCCCCTCAGTCATTCCTTAGAGTTCAGAATACGATTTCTGCATATGTCTGCTCCTAAGGACACTCCAACTGAAAACAGTTTTCAAGATTTCAGAAATCTTTCCCTTGAGAAATTGTTCCTTAAATCTCGAGCACATGCCCGCCGTGTCAATGATAAGGATGTTGCCATGGAGCCTGGAAAATGGCCCTCAGAGTCTGTCGCCAGCCTTCCTGGAACCCACCCTTGGTGCAGCGGGTGACAGTTGCACAGTGCCACGCTGTGGAGGCCCCCGCTCAGCTGCAGAAAGCCCTTGGGTGTGGGGAAACTCATTCAGAAGGGTTTTGCCCTCTCGTGGTTCTGATTCATGGTTCTCCTTCCTTGGACATCCAGGACTAGGCCTTTCCATTAAGGCCTGCATCGCTCTTTCTAGTGTTTCAGGACTGCCAAAACAAAACAAAACTAAACAAAAAACAGCTTTCAGGACTGTTGTTTTCTATTACGGTTTGCAACACTGTTTGGAAAATAGGGTCTATTTTTTTTTCTCTTGATTTCTGTGCTTTCTTCTGGAAACCTTGATGAAGAACACATGTCTGCCCTAAATCACTCCCATGAGAAATGTTGGAACTGTTACATTTAGTTTTACTATCCAACATGTTAAAATAGTTAACCACAGCACATATTACCATACAGCTATATCAAGGGAAGTTGAAAGTGTTTAATACATATTTAAAATATATCACAAGCTATGTAGAAAGATAGAACTGCCTGTCATGGTAGGTAGGTAAGTGGTTATGGTAACATATTAAAGGATCACCACAAATCACTTTCTCTCAGACTTAATTTTTCCATGCACATCGCAGAACGGATTCTTCCTGACTGAGGCCCTGGAACAGGTCTTCTGGCAGTGATATTTAAATGTGTACAAACGCATGAGAAGTGCTGTCCATGTGCTGTTTTTTGTGTCTGTCACAATGCCAGCTGTGCACAATGCCAGCAGCAATAATTGTATACGTGATTATACAATTAATCGCTTAAGAGATCAGTCGTTACTGATTTTTGTCAACTTCACATTTGATGGGATGTAAATCTCTTCATCATGAAGAGAAGAAGTGGAACACACAGAATCCAAGTCCAGCTGCTTGACCGCATCAGAGAGGACAGAGCGGTACCATGGTGTGGGTAAAAGATGGGAGGGGGCTGATTTCTACTCCCCAAATGCCTGGACCTATGACCTGAAAGACACTTGGCTTGCTGTTGACCCAGGATCTTTATCAGA